CTCTCTCTCATTCTCTCTCTCTCAAATAAATAAATAAAATCTTTAAAAAAAAAAAAGAATATACCTCTTGCTGTGGACTCCCACAAGTAGATACGTAGGACTGTCAACAGCTGTGCGGGACAACCTGGATTGGGTATGACTGTCTGCACCCTGAGGTGCAGAGGTCCCTGCACCCTGATGAACATCCAGCATCCCCTGCCTTCAGCCCTGCATGTCAGTGGTCATCTCCATCCCCTTTAAGACTGACTAGCCCAGGGCAGAGCAGGGCTCCACAAAGGTGGAACAAGCTGAGGGACCAGGGACTGATGAAGGACAGCCTAGAAGGAACACACTGAATCAGGAGAGTACCCTTAAGATCAGGATGGTGGCAGAAGCTGGCCCAGGGCCTAGCCAAGAGCACTCCGTAAATGCTAATTGAATAAAAAGTGAAAGCGGATTACATTGTTTGACACTGTCAGAGGAACCAGCGTCCTTGTATCCCACAACCCTGATCCTGTCTGTGAGGCCCTTGGTCCCTGTTGCGCTTCACTACCCACTTCAACCACCAGTTAACTTGTTAGTCCTGAGCACTTTCTGGGTTGCTCAGTGCGGGGAAGGAGCTTGAGTACCTTCTTCAGTTTCTGCAGCACTGGATGGCATGTCTTGTCTTTCCTCTGGCCTGGCTTCTTGATCTTCAAGAACCTAAGAAAGAAAAAAAAAAAAAATCAATGAAAACAATCGGAGGCTTCAGATATGCGACAAGGAGATGGAAATCACAAACACAGGTCTGGGAGCTGGGACAGGCCAGACAGTCTGGAGAGGTCTGGAAAGACAGGGTGGGTAAAGCTGCTTGGAGTACACTCAGGCAGCACCCCAGGAAGAGGAGGACAGACACTGGGGGAACCAAGAGGCATGGGTTGCAAACGTCCCCGCCATGAATCTTCTACTACTTCCCCACATCACAACCAGAAGGTCCTCAGGAACATAATGCATGAACCAAAAAGGGACAGAAGAACAGAAAATCTTGAAACTGTAAACAAGAGTCACTGTTTCTGCAGGTGCCCATCCTGAGAAACCCCTCCCCATGCCAAAGAACACAGGGTCCGGGGGGCAGGATCCCCATCACAAGGAAGACCCAGGATGTGCACGGGCCTTGCTCTGCAAGCCAGCGTATGCTGGTGCAGGCTGCCCTGGCTGAGAGCAAGCTGGGGGCCTCAGAGAAAAAGTGCCCTCCTGGAGCTCTCTGCATTTTCTTTTCAAATGGTTACTGCCTGGCCGGTGAGCGATGAAGAGCCACAGAATTATATATTGATGTGCCAAACAGTGAAACAGCCCAAGACTGCATCCGCACATGTTCCCAAACAAACACATGGGCACATTTGGGCAGGCAGCCCAGCAAATGGCCCAGACCCCTGAACCCTCATGGGCATATTATTAATTAAACTCAGTGTATCAAGCGCCTTGCTCTTGACCATTTCAGAACATCCTGAGGCCAGATAACAACAGCAACAAAAAAAACATGAAAATATACACAGTTAACCAAACCACAGAGGGGCAGGAAACAAGAAGTGCCCACTCACCTACCCTCCATAGCTGTTAACTCCCACCCGCCTTACCCTCAAGAGGCAGTATTGTCTCTTCGAGGACCCATCATGGAATTACAGGGTAGAACAGACCAGGTATGTCCTGGGAGGCACTAAGGAGATGGGAGCCTGAGTGCCTAGGGTCCTAAGAGGTCTCACCACGCAGGCTCAAGGCCCATGTGATTACCTGGGGTCAGCAGTAACCCTGACACCCTTTTGGGGAGGGTAACTGCCCAGGCTACCTGAAAAGGGCATCAGGGAATGCTGCTTCCTGATTACAAAACAAAAATGAAATAGGAAAATACTTTTTTTTTTGTAAATGGGGTGTGTTAAAACAATTTTTATTCTTTTTTCTTTAAGATTTTATTTATTTGACAGAGAAAGAGCGAGAGAAGGAACACAAGCAGGGGGGAGTGGGAGAGAAAGAGGGAGAAGCAGGCTTCTCGCTGAGCAGGGAGCCCCATGCAGGGCTCGATCCCAGGACGCTGGGATCATGACCTGAGCTGAAGGCAGACGCTTAACTGACTGAGCCACCCAGGCACCCCAAAACAATTTTTATTCTTTTGAGTAAATTTAGATGCAATTGTAGGACACTTAAATTTCCTAGTTGCCTTATTAATTTTAGCCAAATTCTAGAACTAAATTCTCAACATTCTGATTAACAGGAAAACGTGTTATGAGAAGAGAACTAAAACAAGATTGAAAAATGTAGCTAAGGGGATGTCTGGGTGGCTCAGTTGGTTAAGCGGCTGCCTTTGGCTCAGGTCATGATCCTGGGGTCCTGGGATCAAGTCCCGCATCGGTTCCTTGCTCAGCAGGGAGTCTGCTTCTCCCTCTGTCAGCTCTGCCAGCTGCTCCTCCTGCTTGTGCTCTCCCTCTGACAAATAAATAAATAAAATCTTAAAAAAAAAAAAAAGGTGCTATCCTCCAAAACACGGTTCCCAAAATAATGAGTTTGCAGTCTGTACTCTCAAGGAGTATGAGTTTTTATACACCAGAATGAAGAGACACACACACCTTGAGAAGAAAGGCTCTGTCCCAAAAGTATTTCCTGAAGAGTTTAATATCTGCCTCCAACAAATGCTCGGCTATGTGGTTCAGCGTCAGGGTCAGTGTCTCTGATGAGTGAATATACTTCAGGAAAGCTTGTTCGCTGAGCTGCACTCGGGAGAAGCCTGGAGAATGTCTGCCCTGGAAACTGAAATGTCACAAATCAAAACCCCTGGCAGTTTCCAAGACATCAACCCCAAGATCCCACTACCCTCACTGCCCCCATTATTACCAATCCAACTGGCAAAACGATCCATGAAAGCCATGTACTGACAATAAGTATGTAAGATCATGTAAACAGATGCTAATAAAGCCACCTTCTTCTACCTAGACAAGATGCCAATTGAGAAGCTATTCACATACACTACATACTTTACCGTCATTTGTAGAACTAATGAAACTACTGACTTTTTTTTTTTAAAGATTTTATTTATTTATTTGACAGAGAGAGACAGAGAGAGAGGGGACACAAGCAGGGGGAGCGGGAGAGGGAGAAGCAGGCTTCCCGCTGAGCAGGGAGCCCGATGCGGGGCTCGATCCCGGGACCCTGGGATCATGACCTGAGCCGAAGGCAGACGCTTAACCATCTGAGCCACCCAGGCGCCCCGAAACTACTGACTTTTAAACATAGTATTTTACCTCAATATTTCATTCTCTTTTTAATTCAAAAAGATGCCTCTTGCTTTAATGGGGTCACATGTGGTAGAACAAATTAGCTGACAGCCAACAGCTTATTAGGTGATTACAGTGGAAAACAGATATGATCTCCAGGGAGCACAGTGAGGTTTGGATGTTACAAACAAGTGGGATATTCATAGCACACTGGTCCACTGTTGTAAATCATTTTGTCATGCAAATTAAAACATGCATACATTTGATCTTGTTGTATTCTTGAAAACATCCATAAACAAAGAAACAACATTCCCAAACTAAATTCTTGAAAAGAAACTTACTTTCTGTTCTGTTTTGGCCAACAACAGTTGCACATTTATTAGCTATATGTAGGCTTCGCAGTTAGTATAATATTCTGGATGGCTCCCAAGGTCATGCAATTGCAACAGTGAAGGAGCATCAGGAGGAAAATGCTAGTGCTTCCAGAGAGCAGCCCACCTCAGCATGTTGTCACATCCCTACGATTGCTTCCAGATTCTTCACTTCACAGTGCTAGCTCTATGGCTCTTTCCTCTTCTTACATGACCCCATTTAATTAATGAATATACACTTCATGAATATATATATATAAAAAACATACTTTTAATCAAATAAATGCTATCTCCGAGGACTGGAACAATAAAGAGAGATCCTTGTACTCTTAAGATTTGGGGCATCTCCCCACACTCTTGATATTAATTACTAGAATCTTCTGGAAAACAACTCCCCATGCTAACATGCCACTGAAGTAAACGGACTCTGAGCATGAGCCAAAAAATTGTTATTAATTTAGAAAATGGAAGCTTCACCATATATTCAGAATTTAGCTGACAGTCTACTTCTAATACCATTCATGAATAGATCTGTTAGATGTGCAAACTTTTAAGGAACATATTATCATCTTCCAGTCCTAGTAGAAAGGTACTAAGGTACTAAGCTACCCAAGATGAAGTCAGCCAGGACTCTGATCTAACAATGAACCATCCACAATGACTACATCAATGAGTAACGCCGGCCTTGGCGTTTTGGGCAAAGCAAGTGGGGTCATGTTAGAGCCAAGAAAAAGACAATTCCTTTTGATGGGCTTTTCCCTTGGTTGGTGGTCATGTGACCAAAGTAGAAGAAAGTTCTAACTTCTACTCCAATATCCATTTATGTACCATGAAACCATAAATTAATTACATTGAGTTTCATGAGTCAAACAAGAAAAACCAGTCCATCAAGACACACCATACAATAATACTCTGATGATATTTTATATTTATGTAGTACTTTGTAATTTTCAAGGTACTTTCCCATTTATTTTTAACACCTGTTAAGTCAAGGAAATCACTATATATGAATCTCCTTTTCATAAGAATGACCAATCTGAACCATTCTAAGTAATAAACCACCCATTCCTCATTCATTAAAAATGCTGATAATCATCATGAACATAGCAAACTTTACAGTTCCCTTACTTAATTATTTCCTTTACATTATTTCACTAGATCCTAATAACCACACCATATCTTAGGGTTTGTCTGTTATTGATTCAACAAAAATTTATATTCTTTCAATGAGTGTTATAGGCTGAAACTGTACTAGAAATATTGCAGTAGGTAAACAAATAATTTCAGCCCTGAAGTGATACAGGATGGAGACCTAGGTAACAAATGATGACTATATTTAAAATGATAAATTATGGGTGCCTGGGTGGCTCAGTTGGTTAAGCGACTGCCTTCAGCTCAGGTCATGATCCTGGAGTCCCTGGATCGAGTCCCACATCGGGCTCCCTGCTCGGCAGGGAG